TGATCATTCACTAAGGCCTCTGGTTGTCCTTCGCTCAAAACTTCGGTAAATTCGCCGAGTGTGGTTTCTCTGTAAATAGTCTTTGGTTCACTGGTAGGATTCATGAGGCGGAACATAGTGTCACCAGCAGGGGTCACGTTCACCATGGCAACAGCACCACGTAACTGATAACGTTCTACTAGTCTTGGATGTCCTTCGATAACTCCAGTGATTTCTCGTCCCAGTTGTTCTATTAGTTTAGCGGGTATAAGTACTTCGGAATGTGGAGGTACAATCGTTGTTTTTCTGGCTCGTATTTTACCCGTATGTGGCATCCAGGTGTTTATTTCTGGAGCAAGTTGGATTGTGTGGTTAGCCATGTCAATAACAGCTTTGTTGGCGGCTAGAAAATCTCTTCCTAACACAATGTCAAACTCTACTTTCTCTAGAACATTCAGGTTTACATCGTATGAGTGTCCTTGGATGACTATCGGTAGTTTTACCACGCCCACAATTGACAATCGTTGACCGCTGACGGTTTTGACAGCTCGTGCATTCTCTTCGTTGAGTAACTTCCTATATTCGTATGGGAGTTGCATAAGAAACGCATGGTCCATGACTGATATCTTAGCTCCAGTATCAACCAATAACTGCACAGCGCGGGAACCCACAGTCCCTTCCACGAACAGATCAGGTGATACAGCAATAGGGTCCATAGCGCACAGTAATTCCTCTGATAAGTCTGTTTCTGTGGCGATTGGGTTTTCTTTTTCGGCTGTAGTTGAGATCTGCGTATCTGGTTCATCTTTGTTCTCTCCTCGTATACAAGCGACTGAATCGTCTTCTTCCTCGGCACTATCGGTAATGGCCGCGACACGTCCGGAACGATTACCACCATTGTAACCATTCCCGGATTGGCGATTTCTCCTGTTGCAGTGGGCTTGTACATGTCCGATCTGATTACAATTTCCACAGATCGGTCTTCCGTCAGAAGTACGGCGGGCACGCGGAACGGAGGCCTGGGCTGGTGCGTTGAGCTGATTCAACGCCTTAGCTACGTCATTTAGGCAGCGGGTGACATCCTTCATGAGTTTATTGGATTGATTTCCCTCGGGCTGTCCTCCCTTGGACCACTCGCGACCACGCTCTGGTGGCACTGGAGGGTGGTACACATCATGTGGATATGGTTGTACTGGTGCGTGCGTCCGATGAGATGGGTCTTGGTTGTACCACGGGGGCGTACGTTGAGACGACCATTCCCGACGGCCTTGGTTTTGATTTCTTCCCGCTTGGTAGTTAAGGGGTTGTAGTGAGTGTGGCAAACCCTCGTTCTGATTTCCATAGTACGCAGCAACAGGCGGTGGCTGTAGATTCTTCATAATTTCTCGTCCTATGTTCTCTCCAATCTCCTTAAGGCTGAATCCTCCCTCGCTGGTTTCTTTTTCCTCGCTTTTCTGCAATGCCACATGGAGGCGAGCCGCTCGTTCTGCTTCCTGATAGGTAGTTGGCTCTCGTGACGCRACCGCGATGCGTAGTTTAGGTTCCAGGCCACGTACAAAACAGCGTAGTTTAGTTTCTTCGTCCGCGCCYACACGATGGCACAGATTATTGACGTCCTCTATGTAGCGCTCAAAAGAGAGACTGGTTATCTGCTTRATAGAATCCATCTCTTGCCATAACTTCCATTTCCGGTCATAGGCACCGTAACGTTTCAGGAGTGCTTCCTTCATGCTTTTTAGGCTACTTGCTACGTCATTGGGTAGGCTGTAGTACCATGACTCCGCGGGTCCCTTTAGATGAGCCACGAGCTCCCATACAGCTGGCTC